TTATCAGTCCGTATCCTTATCTAGACCTGCCTGTTGAGTTCAGAACACTAATCTCAACTTCTGTGATATGTATCATGTATTGTAAACATACTTTGTTGATATACAAAAATCAAACAGACCACATCGTACTATAAAATAGGAAACAACATTTGTATAAGATTTAGTCAAAAAGTGGCTGTGAATGTGAGAGACTGTAATTAATTGATTGGGGCATAACTTAAGAATGGTAAATCGTATAATAATAGTCTATAGGTTAAAAATGCTTATAATAAGAGGAACATGAATATACATAGGTTACTTACTTAACAATTTACACAATAAAAATATATGTATCGTATTGGTTCATAAATAGTTCTCCACTATTCTCATCGGGATATAACAGTTAAACATTCATTTAAAAACATGAAGTATAGTGAAGGGATCTCTTTTCAACGAATTTATTATCAAGCTGTACAATCGTATACACATGAAAATTCTTTTTTTTTGTTAAAGTACTTGTTCCGTGAGGACATATGAACAAGGAGTAACCACAATGATGCAGTCGAAAGATTACAACGCTAGATTGCGTAATATGGTTGATAACAATAGACTAAGTAAGTTAGTAACGAATTATAACGTGAATGTAGTAAAATGACTAAAATGTTTTTGATTGAGGTCATGAACCAATTGATATTAGACCACCATTGAAAACCTGGAAGCATTCGCACTCGAGACTGAAGGCTCTGGGTGTTCGAATCCTGCGAGCGGGATCGTGGATGAGCACTGCCGAGGAGTTCCGCAATAGGACGGAACGGCCGTCCTGTGCTTCCAGGTTCTCAATGGTGGTCTAACATCAATCAGTTCATGATCCCAATCAAAAACTTATTAATCTCCACCACCCCTATACTGATAAAATGTTTTTGTTACAGTAATTAAAGGTCATCAAAGGTCATAGAAGTGTAAAAAAAATAAAGTGATATGATGACTACTTATGAATAAAATATTGGGAATGTGAGGCATAAGTAAAGGGGGAATGCAGTAATATAATAATAATAATTAAGGCCAAGTTAACGATAACGATAGGACGTTCTTTTGTACTCATAGTTCATAGCTCATGGATTTGCCTAGTAAATATTAGAAAATTTAGTACAATAAACTGAAATCAACAGTTGAAATCATGAGTAATTGAAGCAAGACCACCAGGGAAAACCTGGAAGCACTGAATGACTGTTTCGTCCTATTGCGGGACTCCTCAGCAGTGAGCATGCACGACCCCGCCACGCAGGATTCGAACCCTGAACCTATCAGTCTCACATTTGAAAATAAACTTTGAATACAAACTGATTGAAAATATGAGATAAGGTTTATTTCTCTTACCTGATTTTTTAAAAATGAATCGTTTCGTCTTAATTACCATTAAAATTAATTGTTTCATTAAAATTTGAATTAGTCATTTTTTTGATAACTGAAAGAAATGTAACGGGTTAGAAACTCTACACTATCTGTATCGAGATTTTATTTATCAATTTAAACACATAAACATTGGGACAAGGAGGGACTAAACAGATATGCGACACATAAATTATTCGATTTATGTGAAAGCTGGAATACTGCCCCGGTTCCCAAATCGAAACACGTGGTTTTCTTAAGGGCCGCGCCCCGGGCCTTTGACCTAATAGTCTCATTTATTTATTATTTATTTTAACACATAGATATTGGTACAAGGGGGAACCAAATACATATGCGCCACACAGATCTCATTTTATATGTGTGAGGGCTGCGATACTGCCCGGGTGCCCAAACCGAAGTAGGTAGTTTTCTTAGGACGCCCCCTTCCCAGAGCCTTTGACTTGAAGGTCTGATCCATAAGGCAGTAGAGCATTGTAAGGAGATGCAGTCACATGGTAGACGGTGACCAACGAATGGTTCATATGCCATTTGTTCCATCAGGATCGTGGAGCCCATGTGCACCATTGGTTTGGAATGAGGGTTTTCCAACTCCCCTAGGTAGACTCTCCACATCCACCGACCCAGTTAAAGCGCCAGGCATTCGCTTTCCGTCCTCTCAATTTCATAAACAACACCCCCGCCATGAGAAGGCAGTGAGTAGGACTTCCTTGACAGAGGCTATATATGAGTGGCCATGTGAGAGCATTTGGAGAGGGAGAGCTGAGTTTACCCACTCTCAGCCGTACCAGGGCATTTGGGAGCCCTAATAGTCTAATCCACAAGGCAGTGGAACTACATCAGAAGATACAGTCTCATGGTAGCCGTCGATCAATAATCGGTTCATACGTCATTTGTTCTTTCAGGATCCTCGAGCCCATGTACACTGTTGATTTGGAAATATGAATTTCCAACTCTCCTACGTAACTCCCCTCATTGGGATCCTCCATATCAACCAACTTGGTTAAAGTGCCGGACATTCGCTTTCCGTCCTCTCAATTTCATAAACAACACCCCCGCCATGAGAAGGCAGTGAGTAGGACTTCCTTGAAAGTGGCTGTATACGCGTGGCCATGTGAGGACATTTGGAGAGGGAGAGCTGACTCTACCCACTCTCGGCAGTACCAGGGCATTTGGGGGCGCACCGAGTTTAGATTTCCAGATTGTTTTAATCTCAATATAACGTTACTGTTGATTGTTATCTGTTGCTTTCCATATTAAATGTAAGTGTATTTTGTAAGTTTTCTAGGTCATGTGTTAATCTTTTCTCTTATTCAATTCTCCTCACTAATGCTATTCTGAGTATTCCCCTAGTACACAAATTAACTTCTGGTTAAACGAGAATTGCTAAAGAGGATCAACAAAAACGCAATGATGTAATTTATCAAAATGTAATTGGTGTTTGGTGAAAAATCAAGTGTATCAGAATGCATAATTCAATTTACAATATTTGATTAATTGATATCAGTATGATGATTTTAAGTAAGTTTCTTAGTTTATACGAATTTAACTATTAATCAAAACATAATAAATCAGGATAGTTAGTAAGTTGTAAATGTATTTTTCATATCAAATGAGATCTACATCTAACTATTTGTCTCTTCTTTACTTACATTAAGTTGCTACTTTGACGTGGTGGTCGGAGCTAACACGAAAATTACTCACAAAATGGTCGTGTGTGACCGACCTCAATTAGTTGTTCCTTGGGCACTGAGGTCACGCTTTCAGGTCATTAAGACCACCTTCAAATAATCAGAGATAAGTCATAACTCTGTATATGAGTTTATCATTAAATAGTGGCTAACAAATTATAATGAAAGAAACTCAATACATATCATTAAGGGAGAAATACATTTAAGAGGAAATAAACCATTCCGACGATATTAATTTACTGATTCTGTACAATTGTATACACGACTGACGGGTACGAAGGGTTTCGCAAGATCATGGATTGATTGATCTTTAAGTGTTCGCACACGAGACTGAAGGTCCTGGATTCGAATCCCTCGTGCGGGATCGTGCATGCGCGCCGATGAGTAATTCCATACTGGGATGGAACTGTCTTCCCGAGATTCCAGATTTTCAATGGTGGTTTGGCTTAGATTGACTCATGAATCCAACTTTGAGAATACGAAAGCGTATAATTGGTTTTTGAAGCTTAACTAATTAGTTTTAAGGGATACTAACAAGCTGTTTCCATTCTATAATGGAAGTGAACTGTCACCTAGCAACATATATTCAATCTAACTGTTGGACTTATAAAAAAAACGAAGGAACTGCAATCGATTTATCGATATCATGAAATAATAGGAACGACAAAGCTAGGACGAAGTTACAGTTCCGTCTAACATTTAATTAAAGATTTGGATGCGTTCTGTAAATAACATATTTGTTATCCTCCTGTTTTTCTTTTGAAGTAGGCTAAAGTACGATAATCCTGAAATTACAAATGACTGGAAAATTCTTACGAGACAAATGAGACCTGTGTGAACTAGAAAGACCGGGCGACAAATACGCTACAACACTTCAAAATTAATAATTCCCACACGAATGGGAGAAGACTGAGCTTTCAGGATGGTTATCACATCAGCAACAGAAGTCAAAATTGTGATGAAATAACACTGTCCGTACAGCAACAAGAGTGCTTTTCAAGCACATCACAAAAGTAGCAAACTAGAAGCAAAAACAATCAATTATATAACTGAAAGTCACTGGGGAAATCAAGATTAGGGGCTATTTCAGTTGCCCTAACACATGAAGACTAAACTTTTTAAAAGAGAAACTAGATAACTTAAAGTCTTCACGGCACTTCTGAAGAGTTTAAATTGGAATCACTAATAAGTTGGACAGTAACATATTTGATGACCGCAACTTTACAAAAGAAGAATAGAGAAATGAGATCCCATTCTCGGATTTATTAATCTGTAAATTAAACATATAAGTATAAGAATCACAAGTATACATGAAGCCAAGTTATATAGAACAACATGAGCAACCTACAGAACAAATTGTACTAACTGCGAGAAACAATATATTAAACAAAGTAAATGATCCCTTTACCTACGTACACGCAGACGCAGACTGAAGGTGGCAAGACACGATATGCTGTTGCTTATTTCAATGCATCCACAAAACCGTGGAAGAACGTACAGTTGAGAAAATATAGAAATTCGCTATGAAGGAAATCCCGGTAGCATTGCTTTGTATCAATGTAAACATCCAACACAGAGAAACATTCTACGCATGAAATTACGACTGTAACTAGTGGATATGATGATTTTAAATAAAAGTGATAAACTACTCATTAGTAAACAAAATATTCCCAAAACAATTTCGCACAAGACTCAGGACTTTTACAAATTCATCAATAGTTCACAAATCCATCTATTCAAATTTAAACTGCACTGTTCTATGTGAGACCTATTGACATTATCCACAGAAATAAGGTAGATCTGAACCTAAAATCTAATCATTAAAAGTTAACTACACCGGTAATAAATCACCGATCCATGTGTTGAAATTGCTAAACAAAGACCACCCCAGTTGTTACTACGGTCCATCTTCATAGAAGTAAGTCATTGAACAACATTTAAATTCATCATTCATAAATTACAAGCCTAATTACTGAATAATTGAATTAGAGCAACACAAACAAAAATTGAACAAGCGAATATATTGAATAAGTCACATCTGTCTGTAAAAAAAAACAACAAACGTAACCACATAAAAGATGATTTTTACTTAAACCGTGCAAACGTTTCATACTATATATTACTCATACAAAACACAGTACTACTACTGAATTAGTGATACTAATATCGTACAAAACGCCAAATGGGTTTAAAACAAAAAAGACAAGAAATCAAAAAGAGAAAGATCATTGGCTTAGTTACCATTACAAGTGATTAGAATTTATAGATGTGTGCATCTTTAATTCCTACTATATAAAGATTACATAGCGAAATCAAGATAGATATATATAGTAAATGAAAGAGATTTCTTCAGATTGAAAATAAATTATACATTATTTCGAATTAAAGAAAGAATAGGGGGAAAAAACAATTTTTATTCAATCAAAAACAAACAAACAAAAGAGCCAAGAAATGAGTAGTTACAGTATACAAACAAGATAAGATAAATGACCTTGATCACACTTCCAAACAAAACAAAAACAAAAACAGGATTGGGAGAATTTAAATTATCAAGTAATTGAATCTAAGAATTTTTACGGCTTCTTCGATTGTGACCATTGTTTTCAAGTTTGGAATCACGTCGTACAACTGATTCATTAGTTAGTGTTGTCCTAGAATTACCACCATCAGCAGTTGTAGTAGACCAATCATCATCATCAATCGATCCCCATCCACGATCATTGCTTAAATCCCAATCACAGGTTTCATTGTTATTCCAATTGGTATTCGACAATGAAGCCCCTAAACATTAATATGAAGGATATTTGTTTGTTTAAATGATTATTCTTTTTAAAGTAACCTATTTCAAATAGCTTACATAGTTTATCTAATAAATACATGGACTGATCTATATGAAATACTAACTATGGATCTAATTAAACATTGAATTGAAATCATAGAAGAAAGCGTGGAAAGCAATGTATGAGACTCAAACACTAAAAAGCCTATAAAGAAGTAATGCTACTTATCGTTTTTGACATTTATGACAGAGTTCACCATGAATCTATTCCTAAGGAACAAACAATGAATACTGCCTTCTATGTTGAGGTTTTCAAGCGTATGAGCAGCCTTTCGAGTGGTATATAATGAATGGCTGCCGCAAGAAGACATTTTACTAAAAAACTAAGTAACGATATAGAAGACGACAAGATGTAAAATGAAGGCTGATGAGTCTGATTTTTGAGGATTTGTAGTAGGGGGAGAGATATTTAAAACAATGGAAACGAAGATGGCTCAAGTGTGTTTCTCACAAATAAGGTATATTTTGAATGAGATAAGGTCAACCTAGTCCGAAAATCATTAAATACAGTAGTTATAATCTTACGCTGCATTTCTTAAAGAACTACATATAAGGCAAAAAGTACTCATTAGAATGCTGATTAATCAATCACGCACATCCATGCATACATTACAAGATGATCTTTAAAATAATAATAATGAAAGACATACGGATCTTTTCCACTCGCTAAGTAATATAATGCACTGGTGAGCAGTGCATACCCTTTAACATATAGTCTAATATATTGCTTGGATCATAGATGGAGTGAGCTATTGAAAGTCAAATAAACCCTTTTGCATCTTTTTTCATGAAATTTTGTCGATTATAAATATAGGTCCTGGGTTCGAATCTCGCGGAGTGCAGGATCGTGGATGCGCACTGCCACTGAGGAGTCCCATACTAGGACGAAACGGCCGTCCAGTGCTTCCAGGTTTTCCATGGTGGTCTAGCTTCAATTGACTCATGATTTCAACCAGTGAAATTTCTAAAATCTCCACAAAACACCTTCTGATAATAATCATCTGCTCACTAGTAGTGACTGACTTCAAGAGATACTCCTGGAGTTCTAGTGAGAAGCCGTTACCAGTAGAGTTCAAGCAGATCTGTTGTAATTATTATTAGTCAAAATCTTTAAACTAATGAACATATTACGTTATTTATTTATAAATTAACACAACCCATATATTGATAGAAATGTTAAGTAATAATCAAAGTACACAGTACAATATCTTCCAGTTGATCCTATACAATTATCTTTCACATCAAACAATAAACTGTCATTATTACTATTTGGAATAATTAACAAGTATTAATATTATCAATAACTAACGCTGAAAATTCAAGTAATCCAATCTCTTGCAAGTATGACATAAGTTGACAAAAGTTGCTAGGGCGACTCCATGCAAAATAGGTCCCTAAGTGTATGTAATGATGAAGTCTCTGAAAAATATATATATGAGCTTGGCAACAGCAAAAAGCTGGGATTACGCGTGGTTATAGTTGTGCGATGACAGATAGAAATAGTCGGGTATGAAATAGCTGAATCGTGTTTTCGCCTCGTTAGGAGATACCAAAAGCTCTTCTGTGAAACCACCCATTTCCTCTTTTTCTTTAATTGCGTATGTTGGGAGGAATACGAACAAAACGCTATGGTTGTAGCTGACAGTAGCTGCTACCTTGAAGTGATAGTCGGGTTTGCCTATTGTAATCAACCAATCCAGATAGACTAACTGGAACACTTGTTCTTTTAGGATCCTACTATCCCAGGCAGATCGGTTGGAGATCGGTAAAACTAAAATTACAAACTTAAGGTTCGAGAGTGAGTTCATACTGCTGACTGTACAGAGGTGTGACAGAATTAAGGTGTTTTCGATAGACAACAGGAATCTGCGACAATGGAGCTTTCTCACAATAGAAGGAAGGAGGCGGGAATGTTAAACCTCACTTTACCATAGAGGTTTTTCTCTGATAATAAGACAGTTTGAAGTACGTCGCTAACACACATTACAAACTTGTCATGAAAAGGTGTTGTGGATGCGGAGGAATAGACCAATAATTATCATGTTAAGTCCAATGGTGTCCTTGGACGTTAAATGGACATTTCCTATTGGTCGATATCTGTTTACTTGTTGAATATTGTACAAAATGTTGTTTTCTATTTTATGGTACGATGTGGTATGCTTGATTGGTATATAAACAAAGTATGTTTGAAATATAATGATTCATATCTCAGAGGTTGTGACTTGTGTTCTGGACTCAACTGACTGGGCTAGACAGGGAAGCGGGACCAATCGAGACTCTAGGCCGTCCACTACGTGTTTGCGTGTCACTGTGATCGATCGATAACACAGGGTAAAAATCGACCCAATTTAAAGTCATAACAAAAGGTCGTGTTATCGGCCATGAGAAGTCGTCCCTTGAAATCTAGGGTCACGTCCCCGGGCCAGTGACCTACAGGCTAATTTACTCCGATTCCCCATTACATTCTATCATTTTTATTTCCTGTTCACATTCCAAATATAACTATATTAATATATCACATAGAAAATATATTCATACAACTAGTAGTCTTGTCAGTCATCCCTAATTATTCGGCGAATTCTGTCAATAATACAGTCTCGTAACTAACCATCACTTAGCCACACATCATATCATTGTGTTCATCTATAAATAACCACTCTACACAGTGAATTTATCAACTGAAATCCCGTTTCAATAGTTGTCAAAAACCTCGTCCATAACACACAGTTGCACACGAAACATTCTTCATTTTGAATGTGAACGAAAAAGCATTACCTTTTCCTTCACTTCTATTAAACGAATCGGTTCCATGTTGTAGGTGTCGATCAAGAAACATTGAACTGGAACGATCTTGTTCACGATTACTAGCAGAGAATGATTAAAAGAAATATAAGAATTCAAATAAATCAATAATTCTTGATCGAGATATTTATGTCGATCAATTGGCGTCAATCTAATTCACTGATCGATACTAACTGGAGGACTTATTACATTTGAAGGAAGTGAGGAGGGAGAATAATTGGGTAAAATGGAACTTACAGAAATCGTCTATTTATTAAATACTTGAATCCTGGTATTTTTATATTACTTTTATTATCAGGTATCATTTCATTCATAAACTACTGTAATACACTTTAATGTTCAAAATTACTAATTAATTGTACACTTATTTCTTAGTTTTATGGTATATGTGATTTAGTTGTGCACAAATTATGATGCCTTATTTGTGACATATTGTGAACAAGTAATTGATCTATGTAATTCTTTGAGCTTTTATTTCATGACAACCACACAACACTGGTAGGTAAGTGTAATTGACATCTTCATATCCTGATTGTTTACTAGGGATTAAAAAAAAGCTGTTTAGATCAGTAAAGAGTAAAGATTTTCAGTTATTGTTCAAAGACATGCGTTATTAGTTCAAGAGAGAACATATTATTAATGGATTCGATAATATAATGATCATATTCAACGGATATAAAGAAATTGAACTATCGAAGACTAAATAAGATTGAAGAAAGTTGCCACGTCTTAAACTTTGGACTCTTTACAACAGTACAAGCCTATAATCCACACCAGGATATAAACCAAGGAAAATTGAATATATGAAACAAAATAAGATGAATAACTATGTAAACAAGCTAATTCGAAAGTAAACCACTGGAACCCATTAATAATTATACATCATCAATAGTAATAAGTTACATTAGTCACCTACATAATACAACCAGTAGTAGTATTATGCGCAATCGATTTAACTTCATTAGTATGATTATTCAGTTGAAGCAGATAAACTGTTTGAATCCAATCAATTCTACTACAATGTTTTTAATTGAGATCATGAACCGATTGATGTTAGACCATCACAATTGAAAACCTGGAAGCACTGGACGGCCGTTTCGTCCTATTGTGGGACTCCTCAGCAGTGCGCATCCACGATCCCGCGAGCGGGATTCGAACCCAGGGCCTTCGGTCTCGCGCGCGAACGCTTAACCACCTGGACCACTGAGCCGGCATCCAATGGTGACAGTTTCTAACATTAACCAATCCACGAAATTGCGCGACCAACTTCCGTTGTACTGAGGTAGATACCTGTCTCTACCCGACAAGGATTAGCTCCACTGGTCACGGCTTCTCACTAGAACTCCGAGAATTCCCTCACGAAGCTAGTCACTAGTGAGCACATGTTGATTACTAGTATAGGGGTTGTGGAGATTATTAAGTTTTTGATTGAGATCATGAACCGATTGATTTTTTTAGTCGCTCTCTGAAATTTCACAAATTATAAATGCTAAGTAATAGCTTCTTCTCTTCGTTTCCCTTATATCTCATAGATTATTACTTTTTACTACTTATAAAAACTATTACATAATTAATTAATTAATTTTGTAAAACCTGATAAATCTTTTAATCGAACGCTTGATTCGGTTTCCTAAGCTCTTCTAGTGACCACCAGGCTAAATCTACAATGCAACTTGAACACAAGAGAAAAAGTGTGAAATATGGGAAGAACGCTTTCCTTCAAGGTTAATTTATGTACAGAAAATCTAGGGTATTTATAGCATTTCAGATGGCCTTAGACTTCTGGAACCCCTTCTAAACATAGTAGCAAGATAAGTAATCGTCCAATCAGAAACGTGACACGTGACTTTTCACTTTCCAAATCTTTCTGAGAAACTGCTATTGAATATTGATTGTATAAAATGTGTACCAGAGTTTTCAAGGCCCCTTTGAGCTTTTTTCGAGGAATTCATTGGGTTTCCCTAAAAAAACCACTATTTTACTACAGACTAGTACAAGTAGGAAAAACTACCTATAAATACCATTCTACATATTCAGAAAACAGTATCATCAAGAAGAAAATTTACTTCGCTGAAAATGTCTTGATTCTTGTTAAATAAGTATTCCTGAAGTTAAAATGATTCATATCAGAAGGGGCTTTCGTGGATATTATAGTAATTTCAATAGCTGAGATCCGCGATATTAATCAACATATGCTCACCAGTGACTCGCTTCAAGAGGTATTTCCTGGAATTCTAGAGAGAAGCAGTGACCAGTGGAGTTCAACCGAGTCAGTTGTGAGATAGTTACTCAGTGAAGACAATGGTGGATGTGTCACTCAATTTCGTGGATTGGTTGAAGTTAGATATTAACACCGTTGGATGCCGGCTCAGTGGTCTAGTGGTTAAGTGCTCGAGCGCGAGACTGATATGTCCTGGGTTCGGATCTCGCGAGGCGGGGTGGTGGATGCGTACTGCTGAGGAGCCCCACAATAGGACAAAGCGGCCATCCAGTGCTTCCAGGTTTTCCATGATAGTCTAGATTCAATTGACTCATGATCTCAACTAATGAAATTAAAATGATTTAACCAATTTTTATTGTCAATATCTATGAATTATATTATAAGACGATCATACGGATAATTGATTTTATCAGAGGATTAAAGGTTATTTTGAAAATAAGTCTTATTATTAAAGATTAGCAACAATAAATCGTTCAGCAGTGGTCTATACAGATGTTTGATTTATTGGGGAAACGTGAAAGCTATGCGTTCAACGGATCTTAGTACATCGTGAGAAATATTTTCTTAACATTAAAAAGTAATATTGTCTGATCTCCACCGTCTATGGCTATCAACAAATTAGTTATTAGTTATAGAATGAAGATGATCCGACACATATATTCATACCACATCGATATTGATAAAAACACTGTGAAACCTATACATACACTAAATCTTGAAGAAAATAATAGCCAGTATCAAATAATACAGTCAAACAGTCTCCTATAATTACATAATGTTCTAGGGAATTATAAACCACTTAACTATTAAATAATAGAAATTTAAACGTCTGAATCAACAATCTATTACTTTACTCACTATAATGCACTAAACAGGTAGATATTGATGTGTTAGACTGAAACTTGTATACTTCTATCATATTTATGATAACAGTAAACTATAATGGAGTAGATATAATGTAAAATTCAACTTAGAACTAAATAGTGGAGACTGTTGAATTTCAGTGAAATCAGTAACCGATAAAAATTAGACTTGTACACCATTGGATGTCGGTTCAGTGATCTTGAGGTTAAGCGTTTGCACGTGAGATCGAAGGTTCTGGGTTCGATTTATTGTTGTAGGGTAGTAAAGGTTCACTGCTAAGTCTCATACTAAAACGAAACTGTAGTTTAGTGCTTCAAAGTTTCTAACGGTTGTCTAAATTAAATCGGTTCATGAAATCAATAAAAATTATAACTAAGTAGTTGTTCGCTGGGTGTTTGTAATAGATAATCGGTGGGGTTGAAAGAGTAAAAGATGATCAGAAGGTGACACCACCCTACAAAGATCTTGACTGTTAGATTGAGCTGTGTTGATACATATAGACTACCTGATTGAGGTTCACATCAACGCGACCGATCGTTGGAAAAATTGGATGGTATAACACGAAACCCATCACAATGTCACAGATGCATTCACTCTGCCTTAAAATACTTAAACTTTTTACACTGCAAATTTATTCTTTCCGTCCGAATAATTCTTTCTACTGCAACTGGTACTGTTATTGTTACTAATCTGGTATTTGTTTTCATAATTTTGCTTTATAATATTGGTATGACAACTTGAACCGATGTACATGTGTCAGATTCTATATTGATTGTGATTGTATGAATGATTTTCATAACAAATCCAGCAACTACTTTCAAATAGTAAATTACATGTTAATGTGATACACTCTTAATTTTACTCAGAATAGATCGATGGTATCCACACTCATCTATGCTTTTAAGTGATGACATTCACATTCGACTGTACATACATGAATTAGATTGTTAAAACCTACTTGAAGAGAGTAGACCCATATGATTTGTCAAAATTTCCGGTAGACAGATCTGATTCAGGATTGCTGGTCCAATATGATTCAAAACTTCGAATTCCTTGCGCTTTCACTGTTTGCAACTAGAAAAGTGTATAAAATAATTATTTATATTAAAATTACAACATAATTAACCTGGATCTAATGAAATATTCGAAGAAAAGAAACTCATTGACGATAGACAAATCAACAAAACTTTTCGTAAAAAAACATGATTGGTCGTAAGATGAGGTCGCATTAAGAATTTTATAATGCGCATTGCCGTCAATCACTTCCGTTATTACAGAAAGATCCTTGAACTAGTTCCTGTTTACAAAATTTCCACTCGGTCGAACGGGCTAGAATTTTCAAAATTAAAATGCTTTGATCAATCCCTCCCTCCACCAACAATATGGTTAACGGTCCTAATAGCTCAATGGTAATGTCCCTAACTGCAACACCATTGATTACCTATACCACACATCAATAAATTTTCTCTGTTGGTTAGGTCACAATGAACAGGGGACATAAGATAATTCTATAAGCACTTGACAATTCACTGAAACAAATTAATTACGTCCTAGTAATGATCATTTTGAATAATATCGACAACCGGAGTAAATGTTTCCCTTGACTTGGCTTTCAATCGACATCATATTTACTAAATGGTTGTACATCAGATACTTTAGAAGTTTTAAGAACTAAATAGAAGTAATTTTACTTAACCTTAATAGGCTACAAACTAGCTGTTATCGCGTTTCTTTGATTTCGTGCGGACAATTAAAAGTTGCTATCTTGAAACTGATTGGTTATTCAGTACATTTTAGGTGTTTTACCACTTAAATTATTCTTTTTACAACAGGTAAAACTTACAGTTTCATGTATATATCAGCACTTAGGTATGATTGAGTAACACTTAATAGCATGAACTACGAAAAATACTGAATAATAACTTCATTCTATTTAGTCTGTTCACTGTTAATCGTTTGACAGATCACGTAATTTTAAACAACAAAAAAGTATGGAGATTAAACACTTGCGCACAAGACTGAAGGTCTTAGGTTCAATTAACAGTCGCAGAGTCGTGGACGTCTACTGCTGAGGAGCCCCACGCTAGGACAAAATGGCTATTTAATGCTTTTAGGATTTGAGTGGTGGTTTAGCTAAGAAAAGTTCGTGACTTCAACTGTGAAAAAGGGGGCACAAATTTACTCTATTTTTACAACGAGTAGTTAAAATTATCGACCTATGATTAATGCAGAGGTATACACTCAAATTTTTAGCTCAATTGTAAAGGCAATTTTCAAGTTATCATGCAGCATACAACTTAATGGCCTAAAATTGACCACAATAATAAAATCATACACACACATATCCCGACCTTAGAATACATACATATTAATAAAAAAAGACTACTTACTAACCTTTGAGGTGACAGTATCAACACCTTTTGATAATGAATCCAAAATATTGCTATCTTTAACCTTTTTTTCAAATACAAAAAATTCGACAAGAAGTGGACAACATTAATTATTTGACAAAGACGGTGACGACGACTACAATTACAATAACAACAAGTGTTATTAAAACATTCAAAAACACCAGTAGTTTTGATAGTCAACTTATTCAGTTTGCATTATTTCCCTGTGCTTATTATTTAGAATTAGTTTTGAAAGTAAGATTTAGCAAGTAACCAAATATAAACATTTGAGTACATAAAGGCACTTGGAAATGTACACTTTTGTATCAAGGTAGTTGAACACGAGTTATTTTATTTATTTGAACACATAAACATTGGTACAAGGAGACACCAAATACATATGCACCACACAGCAACAATAAGGCCGGTAGTAGTTATCACTGATTTGTTTGAAGGCTGTGATATTGCACAGGTGTTCGAATCGAAGCAGGTGGTTTCCTTAGGGGGCCACTCACCGAACCCTTGGCCTCAACGTCTAATCCACAAGGCAGTCGAGCAGTGTTAGGGGATGCAGTCCCATGGTAGCCGGTGACAAACAATAGGTTAATACGCCATTTGTCCTTTTAAGATCCTGGAGCCTATGTTCACCATTGGTTTGGAACGGCCAGGTGGATCCTTCATATCCACCAACCCGGTTAAAGCTCCGGACATTTGCTTCTCGTCCCCTCAATTTTGTAAACAATACCCCAACCATAAGAAGGCAGTGTGAACAATAGTACACCTCAAATAGTTAATTTAATAGATGAAAAAGAAAAACATTTGAACCTTAGAACAAGTTATTTACTCTCTCATAAAATATTATTACATAAAACTGTTATACACAAATTGACAAACAAACATTTGTTTTTTCATAAAAGATAATCCACAATGTACAAACTAGTACGTATCACTTGTAGCTCAATCATTTATACACTTGAAATTTAATCGTTGTAACACAGATTTTAATTTTATAACTAAAGTTTAAACAGTCAAATAGTATGGTAAATTTACATTCAATGACTATAGATCTACAACTTGATGCCTTATACCAGAAAAGGACAACTTAACTAAACTACTATTATTATTATTTCTTTGCTTGATTTATTTTCCCCTGGACAAATATTGAAATGTGTATTGTTCAATGTTAATTACATAAATCTTATATTTAATGATTCAACTAAGATTTATTACATAATATACATTTGTAGGTATTTTGCTGATTAATTTTTTATCAGAAGGGGTTTGTGGAGATTTTAGAAATTTCACAGACTGAAATCATGAGTCAATTGAAGCTGGACCACCATGAAAAACCTGGAAGCACTGGACAGCCATTTCGTCCTGATATGGGACTCCTCAGCAGTACGCATCCACGATCCCGCACCCGCGAGATTCGAACCCAGGAAATATCAGTCTTGCGCCAGGCGCGAAACGACCGTCCAGTGCTTCCAGGTTTTCCATAGTGGGCTAGCTTCAATTGACTCATAATTTCAATCTGTGATATTAATTTTTTTATTCCAGTATTAAATGAATGATACATGGAAATATGACGACGACGACAACAACAACAACACCAACAGAAATCAAAAAAAACTTAAACAATAACAACGACAATACAGAATATGAAATGTACAATAAACAAACCAGACTACAGGTTATAATTGGGAAATTAAAAAGTATCAAAGAAAAAATATTTATGTACAATGTCGATCAAATTCATTTTAATGTGTTACTTGTGTACGGGTGTGTGTGTGTGTGTGTACTGTGTATTGTAAACTATGAAACCATATTATTATTATTATTATGCATAAAACAATATAATTTTATGAGACTTTTTCAGTATAGTTATTTTTGTGACTCACTTTTTCCTGAACGGATTGAGTTAATTCTTTGGTTTTTTGTGTTGCTTGAGATGCTAATTGACTGGTACATTTAGCAGCTACTGAGGCCACTTGACTAACCATTGCCCAACCCTAAAATTACAAATTCAAAAATTAACAAATAAATTATGAATAAAATATATAATTATTTTTATTTCAAACATTAGAATTCAGTGTTGTTATGGCTTTGGTTTGTTTGTTGCTTATTGTTTAATTTATCCTTTAGTTACAATATACTGCTTTTAACGATAACACTATAACACTATAAGGAGTTTGTGAAGATAGTTGAACTTCATAGTTTATATTACAGACTGATGTTAACTAAGGTGTCATAATATCAGGATGAAACAGCTATCCACTGTTCCTTGATTTTCAATGGTTGTCTAGGATGATAATAATTATATGTTCACCAAAGTAATCCCTAGATTTCTAGTAAGATGCTGTGAACAATGGAGCGGGTGAGGGTTGGAGGCAGTTACCCACTAATGGTACTGAAAAAGTAAACATGTAAACAACTGGATTCCAACTGAATGGTCCCAAGGTGAAGTGCTCATAATAAGGGTCTCGGGTTTGACACCTAATGAGGTCGTGGATGTCCATAGCTGAGAATGCCCATACTAGGACGAAACACTTATCCATTGTTTCTTGATTTTTAATAGGAGACTGATTAAGATCAGTTCATAATGTGAACTATAAAACAAAATAATGACTTTCAACACAAATCAGTGAGAAAAAATTGTAGAAAACAACAAACATGAACTAGAATATTATAGTAGTACGTGAAAACTAAGTAAATAAAACGAAGGAATCAGAAATGACGGCTTTCAAAACAACACCACAATTAAAAAAAGTAACGCAACAACTTACTGTTAAAATTAATAATAATTAGTCTCCTGTGTATCTTTTAGATATTACGTTGGACTACTTGACGGTAATAAGTAGTCTAGACTACGTGACTTGGTTTCTAAGGCTGAATTATTGAAGCGAATGTTATTGTTTTGTTACAACAAATCATTTATCTTTCTGTATCAGCAATTTGATGTATAATTTGAATTATGATAACATTGTTTTTCTTCTTACTACATATACTTTGTGATACGATTTTTATCATGAACTGCGTCTATTATTTTTTAAACATAAACCATTATCTTCGAAACTTGATGACGTTGTAGAGCATTTTCAATTTCTTAGACTCATCTTTCATTGTACTCTTTACGACATAGACTATACCCAGATATCTAATAATCTGGTGTGTGTAAATTCTCAATGTCCATTCCACCCTCCATAATAGACAGATTTCGCCTTTTGGTTTCAGGATTTTTACACAAAACTCGGTCATTGGAGTTAGGAATCTGTGTAAGAACGACACACTAGTTATATGCATTTACTTACATTGTTAATAAACAATGGAGATAAATCTAGTTGAAGTCAGTCAGCCGGTTACCACCAACGTAGAGCCTGATATACACATGCTTATCAATCGAAATGCCCCACCACTTAAGCACAGTGAAATTAATTTTTCAAAACAAATATCAAAGTAGTAGAAGTAGCGACAGTATCAGTGACAGTAGGAAACATTAGGTATAAACGATATGATTTTAGAACAATGGATTACTTAGAGGGAAAGTAGTACAAAACAATTTTGAAATTCAGGATTAATAGGTAAATAACAAGTAAATGCATTCTCATTATTGTGACCGACTTTGAGTAATGTTACCCAAAGTCCCTAACTATTGGTCACGATAGACACGTAGACCATAACCAGGTAGTTTGCACCTACCAACACAGCTGACTCTTATAATCAATGACATAATAGACTGATGTCACACCTTGGTTCGGCTCCCACTAAGCTTCCTTCTAAATTACTCCTACAGAACAAATGTTGCACATACGTAATATATGTCCCAGCTATCTTAGCCAATAGTGATTTGTAGCCTCATCAACCAATTTTCCACCTTTATCTAGCATCTTCTGCTTAATTTCAATGTCGTACAATTGATGGTCTCCATACACAAGCGATGTTTTGAAAGCATATATGACCAAATGTTAGTAAACTATCCTTTATTGTTAAAAAAGATCACGTTTCGTAGACATAAACTAGAACAGAGCGAACTGCTAACCAATAGACTCGTCCTTTGGTTGCCAAATAAATATCTCGTGTCCTGATTTCCCATGACATCAATCCACCAGGGCTAATAAAACTTTCAAGATAAGTGACGTAGTCGATGAGCCTAACTACTTTACACCCGAACTTTAGTAGTTGAGGCGTTGATACAGATCGGTCCTAGAGAGGAAATTTTGCATTTTAAGACAAACGCACCACACTGGCATTGTTGTTCAATGCGATTAGAAGATTTTGCATTTTTTCATCATCAATACTAAACAGAACTGTCATTCATGCATCCTAGGTCACATCTGAAGTGATGATCATAGCTTAGTATCAGAAGCTTGGGCTTCATAAATGAGTTAATACAAGATTAATGATGAAATGCACAAACAACTTACTGACTGCCATGAGTATTTATCATTTCGTTCAGGTACTAATGAATAATGCCTAGACGAAGAATTCGTATATTTACCATTATCATCCATAAATTTAGAGCTAAAATACAATAAAATCAATAAGATATTTAGGAAATGGAATTGACATAAGACAAATAAAGAAAGATACTTCGTTTTAAGCACTTTTTCACCACAGCACTTTATTTTAATCTTAGTAACACAAATTAAGCACAATATTCATATCAAAAGTTGCACAGTTCAAAAGTAAAAATATATATATATGGATGAAAAACTAAAGAAATATACCAAAACTTCGACATTTACACTGATTCTTATAAAGATTGTTTAACCACTATGTAACTTATTGATTCCTCCTTTTCGTATGATGGTGTGAATTGCAAGAATGTAGATTGATTTGAGCACTTGTATCAGAGATCTCAACCTATTCTGACTAATAAATCAAATGACTGAGAGGTATTTATCCAATATCAGACATTTTATGAAAGGTTCCATTGCATTGTTTCAACTGTTTAAAAGGATAAAATAGTGATCATATGGCAAAAATGTTTTTGGCACTGATTTCTAATCGGTACCAACAACGCTTTAAATCAATTACAGATGAATTATTTCAGAAAACACCAACACTACCATCCACCTATCTATCTCCATTCCATTCATCACTCGATCACATATCATATCATCGTGTTCATCTATAAATAACCACTCTACGCAGTGATTTTAACAATTGAAATTCTGCCTCATTAATTGTTAAAAGCCTCTTCCATAACACTATATTCTTATGAAAATTTCAAGCCTAGTAATGATGATACACTGTGTTTCGATGATATCTCCACATCTAGTAACTCTGATGTACCACAATTAATAAACACTTTTTCCGCTTCTGTTTTAGCTCTGGGCACCACAAAACAAAATAGTCAAACATCGGAAGAAGAAACAAGATGGAAACTCAATTCAAGTGTCATCAGGAAGCATAGTAAAGATATTTCAGCAATAATCAGAAGACAGATGCTCACGTTTTCCGGTATTTACCTCTGCTGAAAATTATAAATGGATTTGACATATACATCGCATAAAAAGGAACTGCACAAAAAATCCATGGACTGTTTTCGTAGGCAGAGGAATCGCATTTATGATTGGGATGGATATACTCTCGAACAACAGTTCAATATCGATCAGCCACTTTGGCGTTCACAATCCCATGAAGCCCTGTAAAAAGCAACCTTATAAAATTGCTCGACTTCCTTCGCTGAGGCTGATTTCTGCTTATTCTTACTGTTGTGTGTCAAAACCAAGAAAAGTTAAACAGTGCTGTTGAACCGGATGAAAGAATCAGCAGACGCCCAATTTCGAGATCAACAAGCTAGATTCCGTAAGGGTTCGTCGTGTAGACCAAATCGCGACACTATGGATCATCGTCGAACAATCAGTTGAGTGGGAGTCGTCACTATACATCAACTTCATTGACTATGAGGCGTTTGACAGTATGGATAGGGGAATATTATGGAAACGTCTTCGGTGCTATGCAGTACCTGATAAAATCGTCGACATCATACAGAATTCATACGATGGATTACATTTCAAAGTCGTGCATGAAGGACAGTTGACAGATGCATTCCAAATAAAGACCGGAGTGAGACAAGTCTGCCGACTCTCCTTCCTCTTTCTTCTGGTGGTCGAGTGGATTATGAAGACCTCCACATATGAGAAAAAGCATGCAATACAATGGACAGCTCACAATCAATCAGAAGATTTGGACTTCGCAGATGACCTGGCCCCTCTCTATCTCATACACACAAACAAATGCAGATGAAGACAACTAATGTAGCATCAGCATCTGCATCAGTAGGCCTCACCATACACAAAGGAAAAAGCAAGATCCTCAAATACAGCACAACGAGCACCAGCCCAACCACATTTGGTGGAGAAGCTCTGCAAGATGTGGAATCTTTCACGTACCTGGGAAGCATCATTGATAAACAAGGAGGATCCGATGCAGACGTAAAGGCGAGGATTGGTAAAGCAAGGGCCGCATTCCTACAATTGAAGAACATATGGAACTCAAAACAACTGTCAACCAATATCAAGGTCAGAATCTTCAATACGAAAGTCAAGACAGTCCTACTGTACGGAGCTGAAACGTGAAGAACTACTACAACCATCACCAAAGAATCACAAGTATTTATAAACAAATGTCTATCCATGATACTCAATGTCCTCCTCAGCAACAGCCTACTGTGTGAGAGAACAAACCAGCTTCCAGATGAAGAGAAAATTAGAAAAAGGATAGGATATACATTACGGAAATCAGCAAACTGCATCACGAAGCAAGCGCTAACTTGGAATCCTGAAGGGAAACAGAAAAGAGGAAGGCCGAAGAATACGCTGCGTCGAGAATCGGAAGCAGACATGAAAAGGATGAACAGCAACTGGATAGGATTGCCCAGGACAAGGTTGAATGGGCGACCTATGCTCCTCCATTAGGGGTAACAGGCGTAAGTAAGTTACTGTTGTGACTACTTATGAGGCAGCCGAACTTTGCATAAGGTTCCTGATTCTTACAAAAATGAGAATCATGAATCTCAGAATGCCAAAAAGTTGCTCAATCATATTCTATGAAACCATCCTTTGGTCCTTCCAGTGACGGAAATGCCACAAGAAACGGCATAATCAGGAACAAAATTTGTGTGAATGTGACCATGTTAAAAATTGGATCTACACTAACACTGGCTCGATTATTATAGATCATTATTAGGAAAAAAGGTAATTATCCCACAACTAGGTGGTATTTTATTATCCGTGTCAAGACAAACATAACTAATGATATCATTTTTAAAACTTAGTATAATTAAACGATAAATGTTAGCGTTGCATAAGAAGAAGTTATGAAAGTTTTGATTAATAGTGAGTTGAGTTTGAATATTAAATTGAAGCTAGTGTGGTAATAATATTGTTCTTAGGTCTCACAAGTAAAAAGCAAAACTAGTCTCACCAACACATTGTATGTATCTGACCTTTTGCAGCTGGATTTGTCGTTACAATGCTAAAAAGGACACAGACTATTATAAGACGTCAATTTTCAGTATAGATAGGTCGATTTTATCTATGCTACTGTCAACAATCGGCATCAAATTTAATTGTCAAGTCTAATAAAATGAGAAAAAGGTAGGTTACGTGTGAATCCTTAAACGAAATTACTAAAATGACACGTGGAATGCGTAGGATTGAAACCTATCATAGACCTGATAGAGAAAAAAACACCTCCAAACTTCATTCAAAAAATTTCTTCGATACAAAAATCAAAGACGAATTTTTCGACTAAACACGAAAGACCATGATGTTACGCTGATAATTGGAAAGACTGCAAAACATTTATTATTACGGAATTACGAAAATTTATACAACAAGATACCTAGAACTATTCAGTCTCTAAGTTGACTAACAAAAATAAACACTAACTAATAAGCATTATTCGATTCACAACTGGAGCATATAGTAATACAAACTGAACAACTATCGTGTGCTTAAACAAAGTGTAAACATAGCAATTACAGTGATTGAAAATTGACATACTCAGCCCAATCTGGAACTTTATCATAACGTGCATTGGCAGAAGTTGTTGTTGTCTTCGTTGCTGGTGTTTTAGATGAATCATGCTCCTCGGATAAGTTTGTATCCCTTAACCAGGATTCCAAATCTGAATGGCAACTGGTCATTTTGTTTGATCCAGGATAATAGTCAGGGGTTTGATAATCATTATGATTATGAAAGTTTCGTTTATCTGAGGATAAAGATGGTAGATCACCGGTTGTTTTTACATGACTTATACTGGTAGGTTTATTATTACGTATATTAGCGGCGTCTTCGTCCCAATCCTCACCAGACGCTTCAGTTGCAATCTGTAACAATAAAAAAATGACCAAAGCAGATTAGTGTGCTCACGTGTGCTCCATGCTGAGTCACACTTAACAGATAAGGGTAAGAGATCACACTATGCTGCACAAACTAAAAGTAGGTGGAACATAACTGAGATTCGTAACCCAATGGATTAAAATCGTTTCTGGATTCCTGAGTTACATATCCAAGAAATAAACATAAATAGGTAAGGAATGAGCGTGTTATTTTTTAGAAAAAGACCTTTTCTACCAGTCAGCTGTCTTATAATCGAATATGAGTCCATTTAAAGGCTTGCTTAAGCAATCTTGTCACGTGAGCAGTTATCACTTGGACATATTGTATTATTGCATACTATCAGGCGATTGGTACATTTTATCCATTAATCAGACGACTGCTAAAGGTCTATTAATTATAAATCACAAAAGGCTAAGTTAAGTTGTGATGTTTAAACCCGTAAAATTATTCTTAAATAGTCGGACGAAAGATGCTAACATTATTTTCAACTTCGCATTAATTGAACTTAAATTTCTTGACAGTCTACACTACACAGAAATTTTATGAGGAAATATAGGTAAAAGAATATTTCCAAACTTTTCAAGCTTAACTTTCCAAATTAGCCCACAGTTGACAAGTGTACTGTTAAAATTCCAGTTAAATCTACCATCCAACAATAATTGACAAGATTTGTAGCCCTGAACGAGGATTTTGGGAGTTATGTGTTATCTGACCTGGGTGGTTTAATCGTGAAGTTTTTATTGTCTTTCCAGACATCATTATCACATACTTGAAGAAGAAGTGAGCTACTAGCTGTTTAGTTTTCAATAATGAAAAGCAACTAAAAACAACGGAACACATAAAGTTAAGGTATCAACAAATTATTCGTGGAAAATACATTTTCACCCAATATCTGTATGAATGCTATCTTGTAAGACAAAAAGGTTTTAGTAAATTTAAATTATAAATACAAAACACTTCCAAGATCACATTTATTGAATGACAAATCTTTATCACCTTCAATCGTGGTGATTGGGATGCTTTATTTGAAGTCCAAATTTACTTGAACTTCATGTTGTGCAGAAGTCTTCACAACCGACTTAACAAACAAAGTGTAAAAGATATTCCTAATATCAATAAGTACTGACCAAATATTTCTAGAGTAATTTACAAGGACAATTCCGTGTCTTAAGAATGTTAGTAAGCAGTGGAATTAAATGGATTAATCTATAACGCTGAGAAATTAGTGGACAGTTATTTTAATCAAATTTCATTATATATAACATAGCAACAAGTCAACGATGTACATATATGGTGGGTAGTACGTCATTCATTCCGTTATGGTCAATGTAGAACCTGTCACAAACGAACCTCAGCACAAGTTACTATATCAAATCAGCATAACAAGTGATTAGCGAAACGAATATCAAAGGAGTCAAAATAACAGCAGTATCAATGATAATATACAGGTCTTAACATAAAGAATATGAGTCAGAAAGAAAGTGGAAAATACTAAAAATTATAGAATACTATCAAAGCCCAAGAATCAGAGAAACGTGAAAAATAAATGCATTTGAGCTACTGTGATCAAATTTAAAGCCATTTCATCCAGGATCTACAAACACCGACCACGATTATTGCATAGAATTTGACCTGGTAGCCTACACATACCAACATGACTCCGACAAAAAATTCAAAAACTTTATAGGCTAATGTTACATCTTGATGTGGCTGCTTCCAACTTTTAATATACTCCTACCCTAATTATCACTGAGCGTCAAGGTAGGTGGTGGTTAGTTATACGCAACACAATTCGCTGTAATCCGCTATTATTGGGCAAGAACGTAAATCTGAAACTTGTGATTTAAGCACCAAACGTACAGCCAGAGGTACAAAACAGAATCTTGCTCTACCAGTTGTTTGGGAGAAGAGATATTATATTAACTCCTACACAAGTCCAACAAACAACCCACTGGAGGACCACAGTGGATTAAATGAATTTAATTATAATGTAATTACTGAGTAATGAATACCTTGGTCACTGGTTAACCAAGATAATGACTATACTGTACTAACCTTATCTCTCAACAAAGCAGCAGCTTTACTATTATACTTTTCTTGAAAACTCCACTGAGGTCTGTAATCAGGTTGTGAAACGAAAAACTCCTTAGCATGTCTGTTGCCTCCAACTTTCATTTTTTCCAACTCCAACTCCTTCCATTTATCCATGTTAATTGAGCGAACAAAACTGATTATGAGAATAATACAAAAATAAAACTACATTAGACACTACTTAACATGTTAAAGAAAGACCAAAAAATATTTCTTCAATAACGATACAAACTAATTTCTACCAGTTTTTTTATGTCGTAGAACCACTATTAACTGGTTTCAAAAAATGTACCTCAAGAAATTCGTTTGCAGAGACTAATAGACCTGGCAATTACGAAGGTTGTTGTGAAACCGTAAGACAACTATCTCATTATTTTAACACTGTGATAATTAACCAGTTCTCACAGAGACAACGATAGAAAACCAGAGCAAAGGTTTTAGAATAACCGAACAATACTTATTACGAAACGCCTTACCTCAAATGAACTCCCAATCCACGATGTTTTCCTGAACACTCTAAACATATCCAAATACCATATGTAACGCTAGCCCATTGAGGATTTGGCGACCCACATTCGAAACATAACTACAAATGAAAATAAATACTGATTATAAAACCTCTGGTTTAATAGGATATATCTTGAAATCATGACTGTCCAGGTAAAACTTTGTTCAGTACTCATTTTTTTGAGACCTGGATGCAAGCAATACAACTGTGAATATACTTAAATGTTTACATTCGGAAATAAAGCTGATAGCCGACATTAGGCATCTTTAAAGAATTTATGCAGCAATATAATATCTCATACGACTACAGCTTGATGAACATTAATAGGTAGCAAGTACTACTACATTCCCAGAGTAAGGTTTGAAAATCAGCGAAACCCCAAGGTAGAAATATTGCTGTTAAATATTTTACAGACATGACACTTTTTATTGTGAACCATTTTCCTGACGGGATGATCAACTTGAAACGACAGTTGGAAAAGTGTACTTGACTAGTTTATACATATATATATATATATATATATATATATATATATATATATATATATAATTCAGACCACTGCAGAGTAGTCGGTTAAACTACATGATCCTAGTTTCGATCCCAAGACTGACTTAATTCGAGGTATGCGCTACTTCTGATTGTCATCGACTGACCTCGTTACTAAATACAAGTGAATTGTGTGCGCTTGCTGGGTCGTCAACTTACCTTTTCTTCTGTTCTTCTCTTTTCCAGCCCTCCTCACTTACGCTACTCTAGTACATAAAGTACCCTCTGGCTATACGCAGATCGCTACACTAGTAGTTCAGTAAGGTTTTCTGATTTCAGTCTTCAGTAATAAGGATAATAGGTTGGTCAACTTGTGTTAATCCTTACAGTTTGCTTTCCAGTGAAGGTCCAGCTTCTTCTCCATAGATCTAGTTCACCTCTTTGTGGCCGATCAGATATGAGTTAGTGTAAGGTACAGGGTACAACGTTCAAAAATAGAATAAAATATTGTTCTCCACCTCATTAACTTAATGTCGATCATTTGGCCGCACTGGAAATGAGACACGGATACTAAGTCAGCAAGAAAAAAATGGAAACGACAGTCATTCATCCACATAAAGGCAAACAATGACATACATGGTTCGCATTTGTTTTCTTGACATCCATTAGCACTCGCCGTGTCCTTGGGCTAGCCATCCTAAATTTCTGAAGACGTCGAGCACACTCGACAAGAGCGCGCGTTTCGGAAGGCCGAGAATATTCAATGATTTATATTACAAGCTCTGAGGACAGAACACCGGAGGCCATCACCAATCTTTCTCTTACACGCCTTACTTCATATCTCTTGGATTATACTATTGAATCTACACATTAACACGTAAATTTAGGAGCTTTAATAACCATTTATAACGATTCAATACCATATCCCTTTGTTTGATATTTTATATGTAATCACACTGGAAGTGGCAAATAAATCCTTATGCATGTACGAGTGTATTTCGACATACACTTACGGTTTCTTTTTTTCTTTTTCACGACGGCTGGAAATATGAAAAACTAATGAAGATTACGATGAGTAGAAACTTTTGTAGTGACTCACGTTTATCACGAGAACACGACTGGTTTAATAAAAACAATTATTATTATAACCAACTGTACCAGTGTTTGTTTCAATGTGCTTTTGTTTAACTGTGCTAATTATAGCCATTTTGTGCTTCCATTACCTTCCATCATTGTTCCGCGGTTTTTGGTACTGTTCGCACGTACTCCTGTCTTCTGCTCCCACTTGTACCATTCCTTGGCACGATCTCGGTATTCGTTCAATACCACGAGATCACCAACGAAATAAATCTGGTTACGTTCGATCTTCGCCTTCTGATTTATCTGGCACGTGTTTCTTGGTAGCGGTGTTCATAGTTAATCTCAATTCGACGCCACGCTACATGTGTATTTTGTCTAATGTGGCGGGCGAGAATTTAAAAACGTCTGATGTGTAATTTTAGCCAACTAATCAGGTATTTTAGAGGATGATGAAGAGCTCTCAGGATTCTGTGTGCCATTAAAAAGTAGTTTCTAAGTCTACTGTTCTCTAAACTGTATAGATCCGGTAATTTAAGGGGCTTCTCGTAAGACTTGAACTCAATTTGACGATACCTTTGGATACACTGTGAATATTTGTAGAATTATGACCTAGTGCGATATCAGTACATTTGTCTTTGCTACTACAATAATAGATTAACGTGTTGAACTTCTCCATTGATCAGGGTGATGTGCCCCATCTTCCACTCGTCTAGGACATGACAATGATTTAGGGAACGTAAGGATAAAAAACCAAGGGGTGTTGTCTCAAATGAGGTCGCTTCTCTAAGCATAGTGGAGTGAGTCATCTCCGGTTAATGTGATGTGTTTCTGTTTAAATGTCTCACATCGTGGTGCACTAATTCAAAATACCGAG